ACAGAGAAAGACACTACAAGAATATTGTTGACAGCCTTTTGTCATGGTATGGAGAGGTGTCAGCAGCCAAAATGATACCTGCTGTTCAAGATCACCAAAGCCAGTCAGCAAGGCATGTCATCATGATGATGATGATGATGATGATGTGATGATGATGATGATGATGATGATATAATAGGTGCCCATCTCACTACCCAAGGCATCAGGAAGAAAAATTAGTAGAAGTTACATGTTTGTTTAAAAACAGTTCTCATCTCTATTATGGAGCTGATCAAGTAATTTATTAGCCAGATTTCTTAACTTTCATATTCTTAACTCTTGGAGTCCCAAGTAACGGATCATATGTTCATAGGTTACTGCCTAGAAGCCCAATGAACGCATGATGCGCATATTTTACGTCTCTTTTGACTACCCCTTGGCCTGTGATGCTAAACCCTCTGGGAATCAAAGAGTTAAGCATACTTTTTTATCATAAAATTTGACCTTTTATTGTTATGATTCTTAGATTCTATGTGGATGTAACATACTAATTTAACTAGGCATCGATAATATCGGCGAGTGGAGTCAAGCTGCTATCAAGAAAAGTGACTTAACGCAACACAGATGCTCAGTTTTCCATTCTGGGTTCCTGGGCCAAATTGTGAAGAAAACGAGAATAGACCCACTGCCTCCCTAAAAAAAAGCATGTTGTACAGAGGTCTACTAAGAAGGTCTCCTAAGTGTTTCCAGTTTACTACTTATGTACAAGTCTCAAATCATACTGAGAATTAGTTTAATAATAATGTGATGTTTCCTATGAAAAATCAGTTTTCTGTTTTAGTTCCTACCTCTATGGTATACCTCTATTCCAGAGATTTCAGCATGCTCATAAAATGTACACTTCCTTCCTCTGATGATACATAATGGGATATGCAATACACGATGCTGTGATGTCTGAACCGAAACCAGGCATGGGCAAATGGTGATACATCAATGCTACATTGGTAAACATCACTCAGATTACACCCACAGAAACACAGAGTCAATAAAATTGTGTAAATACATATTTGTGTTCCATATCTGTTGCATGAAAATCAATCTGTACAAAATAAATATACCATTTACACCTGAACCTTTTCAGTCCCATATAGTCCCACCTATGACACTTAGAGCATGAAATTGCACTGGAAGCATGACACCTATGACACTTAGAGCATGAAAATGCACTGGACACATGACACGCATGACACCTAGAGCATGAAACTGAACTGGTAATATGACACCTGGAGCATGAAATTGCACTGGAAGTGGGATATTAAATTAACTAGATGCTAGACATTAATGAAATCTCACTTATGAAATTACACTGAAACACTCCACTAGTGACACCTCGAGCACACAATTACACTGGACACATGATATTAATTACAACTGAAGCATAAAATTACACTGGACACAAAATATGAATGTCACCTGAACTCAAAATTATACTGAACGTTTGCTGGTTTGCTGTTTGCTCAGGAATGATGAAAACAGAAAATGCGTGCATGGCAATGAGTAGCATATTAAGAATGAGAATTATGAAAAAAGAAAGCAGTTATATAATATCAAAGCCGTGAAAACAAAATGAACTTTTCGGCCAAGACAGCAGCCTAGGTTCATTCTCCAGGGGAGGCAGCAGAATTAGTTTGTCCTACCAGTATGGCTCTGAGGTTAAACCAGCCTTGCAAAATTAGAAGTCAGAGAATTGTCACCATTTTCTAAGAAATGCACAGAAAGGAAAGCGTGGAAGAAGGGAACTAGACACTTCACTTCACACATCACAGCCTAGAATATTTTACCACCTACAACTTCACAGCCCCAACAGTAATATGTATGAGATTATCATTTTATCTACTAAACACCAATGAAAACTGGAACGAAACATAATCTTAGGAAATAAGAAGAGACGGAGACACTGCAAAACAAATCAAAGGTACTGAAAATTTCCAGTTCAAGTAAACAGATAGAAAAACCCTCACAGTTCAAGACTAATGAAGAAATTACTCTACAAATGTTGACAAGTAAGTTGTCACAATTGACATCAATATTTAGAAATGCTAATAACTGTAACATTTCTGAACACCCTCCCATCAATATTGTAGCCTATAACATATTTATTACACAATTTGTGTCTGATGAGATATGGAACACAAATTTTTTTAGGAAAATATGGGTGAAAACACACACACAATGACAACTGCCAGAGTTTATACATATATGTAACAAACAAACTTCAAACAGAAACTGCAAAATAATAAGAACAGACACATTAAGCTATAGCTATCTGAACATATTCTAGGTAAATTATCATGAAATTTCTGGTTAAAAAAAACTACTTTTGTGTGCACAGACATAAAGCAAGAAGGAAACAGAAATGTGAGCCAGACAGAGAAAATGAATAAGTCTCCTCTCTCTTCTGACAAACTGGTAGCTAAATTCATCAGCACCTTTTTTTTTAATGACCAAGTTCATGTTTCAGTAGCTATGTTACTTTGTCTTTTCCAGTATTCCGAGCCCTTATGGGTTAGTGCTGAGATTTCACCCACCTCCATTCATCTCTATGACTGGCCTTCTCTTTCCAGCTTGTAAGTCCAAGCATCTGTGTATCTGCCTGTATATTATCTCTTTACTGTCTTCTTGGTCAGCCTCATGGTCTATCTCCATTCAACTCTTTTTATAATTCTGATAGGCTGAATTACTTTATCAGTGTTACAAAACAGGTCAATGGCTCTGTAATTTTCATACTGGCTGGCTGAATTAGTTTTCGATTATCCCATTTATCAGGTACAGTGGAACCCCAATATTCCTCACTAATAAATTCCAGCATTTGGAACCGGCCCATCATCTTTTTTCTCATCTGAAGACTCGTCAGAGGAAGGAAAATTCTTACTTTTAGGATGAATATCAAATAAACAGAGAAACAGCAGCGAAAAACAAGACAACATTTTTAAAGGATGAATATTGGTGTGGATGACTTTTGGAGTTACACTGTACATCCTCTCTTTTCTTTAATCTGGCTGCATGTCAACTTTGCTACACAATGACTCCTCCCTCACTAGCAACTTCTGCTAACCGCATGTCAGATCATCCTTAAAGCTCCTTACTGTAACGCTGTCACATCTTTAATCTGAACCACATCCCTCAGACAGACAAGCAAACCCTTGAACTACTGAGCCAACCAGAAGTATGCTTTTGTCACAGACTAAAAGTAAACACTCAGGGTAGTGATAAAAAGCACATCAAATATGGACAGTCTAAAGAATGAGTGCATAATAAACTAGCTGTGTGTGATTACTATTTATTTCACACATTCTTACTAAGACCTAATCAAAATGAGTAACTGCCGTAAAATATGAAATTTCTTTTAAATATGAAGAAAAAAAACCCACGTAATTAGTCCTGTAAAGCTGGCATATGCTTTTGGTTTTCTAATCTGTTTAAAATGTCAAACACAACATAAAAAGACATAATTCTAGAACAACTAAATAAGTGTATTCAGAACGGGACTAACGAAAGACAAAAACAAAGAATTCAGACAATTGAATACTCTGCACAAATATATGTAAAATACAGTTTAGCTATTCAAGTATGTGCATTTTATGATGCCCTGCTTTTTCTGTTTAAAATATGCAGACACAAAAACTACCAGTTCAATTACATGAATTGGAAAGCAACAACACAACAACACTGAATAAAATTCACAAACAAAATATAAACAAGAATGATCGCAGTTTAAAAAAAATAAAGTCACTGTATAACAGACAGAAATGCATATTGAAAAGTGCAACTGGTTATCTGAAAATGGCGTGACAGCAGAGTGCAGGATGAAAGTATAGTATGAATGCTACAAACTCAGTTAAATAAATATACAAATATTCCATATCATTGAAAGGAATAAAAGTTACAGATTGATACAGGGAGGACATTTGCTAAGGAAATGAGGAACATTCAATGGGATGAATTCTAGAATAGTGAAGAAATAGGAAAAAGAAAAGAAGAAGAAAAACCACTGTTGACAGATTTAAAATTTAAAATAAAGATAAGCGGCGTACGTGGCTTAGGCATTGCGAGTCTGACTCGTAATGCCAACGTACTGCAATTGAAACCCACTGCTGGCTGTGTGGACTTTTATCGTGGTATGGGGCGTCGCAGGTCCACCCAGCCTAAACTGGGTAAGTAAAAACGGCTGGCTTAATGCAGACCATACTACCCACCTAGTGCCCATTGGTCTGTAAAAATATGGGTGCTCTTCCCATATGCCCAATGCGCCTAAAGGCGTGAAAAGTGATTTTTATTTACTTTACTTACTTTTTTAATAAAAATGGTGATTTACTAGACACATTCTGCAGAGAAGAGGACAGTAAATTGCAAAACAGTCTATGAAATGAGAAACAAATGGACTGATGAAATAAAGAAATCTGAGAGAAACTTTCAGCGGAACGATGATGAGAGAAACAATAGGAGCTGGACTGGATTCCTCCTATGGAATCAAAAACAATAAGGATGGCAGAAGGGAATAAATGAATAGATATTGAGCCCTTTGTGACACGTAAAAGCCACCCTGTGCATGAAGATGATGATAATAATAACGATGATCCGACAGTGAGCTGCTATATAATAAACAATGAGCACACATGTCCACAAGTGTATATATTTCGTGACCTGGAAAACTTAACAACACTATGTAAACAAAAAGCAACCAGAAGGATGACACTGCTTTTATTGGTAATAATACAACAATGCAGAAATGACTAATAGCTGTCAACAGGAATGAGCAAAGAAGGAGTCTGGATTAACACTGAGGAAATAGTTACTATTATGTCTAAAGAATATATGTGTGATGCAAAGAAAATTGTCTCTCCCAGCAGCCACTGCTAGTTCCCATATTAATACAAACATCCGCTACCAACTGCAGCCATTCCTCCACCAACTAATAAGGCCATTTCCCCGACCACAAGTCTAAACAGGCTGAGACTCACCTGTACCGGAACTTGGATCCCATTGTAAACAACTTTTTGCTGGGAGGATTGGGGTGGTGCATCCGGAAGAAGGTATGGTGCTCCACACAAGATTTCCACAAGTTCTTACAAGACCTGTAGCTCACCATATTAAAACCGATCAAGTTTTCAACTGGCTCATTCTGAAACAACAATACAGACATTCTCTATTTATTTAATCTACTACAGGCAACAACAAAAATGTGAACAATAACAAAAAATTTACCACTACTTCTGCTAAATAGGTTACAGATCCAGAGACCATTTATGCACAGTGGCTCTCAAATTTAAAAACAAGGATTAGCTTTACTGAAATGAACCTAAAGTGTTTATAATCAATATGGCATTAAACTCTAAGTGTTTATAATCAATATGGGCATGAACATGAAGTGTTTACAATCACTGTCACAATAACAATGAATACATACACCCGGCAGCATCTACTAAGGATGATGGAGTCTCTATAGATCTGCATGAAGCCTTAGGGATTTTAATTCTGTTTTTAAAAATAAAACTGTATACAACCATTACTGGGTATGTGGCAAAACACGCCTAACAATGACTCATATTTGCTGCTGGAATATGAACTTTCTGAAGACAAGACAAAGTATTCAATGCATGAGAATCTTCCTACAACACCAATCATCATCTTGTGCCATGCCAATGAGGACTGAGCATCGCTGGGTAATTATCAACTTTATTCTAAAGGTAAAGGCAATAATCAAATACTGTAGTGAGGATGTTACCGTGGAGACAAACACTTACTTCTTTAGTCCAAAATTAGGTAATAAATATTTTACCCACATTCCAAAGATAACACAACCTCTAATTTTAACATGAAAACAATGGGGGGGGGGGGGGAGAAGAGAATTGTTTTATTCACAGGAAAATATGGTAATTCATTTTGACAGGTCACAGTGACGTGAAAGGTTACTTATTTTCTTCTTCGGTAAATTTACTTTTAAGAGAATATTCATTACAGGATATTAATTATTTGAAATTACAGTATGCATCAAAAACTAATATTAACAATGATATCAGGTGTAATTTATATCATCATAATATAACAAGTCATTTGCAGGATATCGCCAAGTCTCCTACCACCCATATTTTCCTACTTAAGATGCCGTTAATATCCAAAGTCCAAGAGAATCAGTTGGTCAGCAACTGCCCCATGTTTCAGAACCATTTCATTTTTATTTTGGAACCGCTGCATACTGGCAACTATGAACCTTTTTAACTGCAGTGAAAAGGCAGAAAGTGCAACGGTACAGACATATAATAAGAGTAATTCTGCAGGGGAAGAGGAGAAGAGGCTGACCAAGCATGACCTGGAAACAGAACCTGCCTAACTGGACAGGATTAAGGTATGCAACCATTAAGCCCATCGCATATGACCACCTAAGTTGGAGGAATCTGATCAGAAAGTCAACAGCACCAAGTGAACTAACAACACAACAATACCAGGTGAACTAACAACACAACAGCACCAGGTGAACTAACAACACAACAACACCAGGTGAACTAACAACACCAGGTGAACTAACAACACAACAACACCAGGTGAACTAACAACACCAGGTGAACTAACAACACAACACCAGGTGAACTAACAACACCAGGTGAACTAACAACACCAGGTGAACTAACAACACAACAACACCAGGTGAACTAACAACACAACACCAGGTGAACTTACAACAAAACAACACCAGGTGAACTAACAACACAACAACACCAGGTGAACTAACAACACAACAACACCAGGTGAACTAACAACACAACAGCACCAGGTGAACTAAGAACACAACACCTGGTGAACTAACAACATGCAGTGTTACCAGATGATGATGATAATAATGATGAGGATGAACCTCTGTGGCATTTAATGTCATCACATAAGTAAGTAGTTCAAGTGTCGTGGGTTCGTTTCCTGATGAAGCAGGACTTTTTTTTCAAAAATGACCTGGCTCCCAACTCAACCCAGCCTTGACTAGGTACCAGGTAAGTCTTGGGAAGTAAAGGTGGCCGGCGGGATGTTGGCCACATCACCCACCAAGTGTTGATTGGTCTATAAAATATAGGTCTAGCCCTATATGCCAAATATACCTGAAGGCGTGGAAAAGGGTTTTTACTTTACTAAGTAGTTCAAGTTCAGAGATAATGTTTATGTCCACTGTATCCTTGGCATGGCTTCAATGCAATGCAATAGAAAAGAACTTGTTGTGAAACAGAATATAAACAACGAATGTTAAACTAGCAACAATTAGCAGTCAGATTTGCACATTCTCCCAGAAAGAAAGTACTTAAGACAGTATGTTACTCAAAGAATTTTTTTTTAAACAAATTACACACATATCAAAGCCTTACATGTTTACATTATACTACAGAAATAAGAGTTTACAAAAGTCACAGTGACTCTCACACACACACATACAAACACATTAAGAGTCTATCTTTGTGCTGTGGTTCTGTGTTTGTAGGAGGGAATGATATTTTTATAGCTTCTCTGAGAGTAAGAGAGAGAGAGAGAGAGAGAGAGAGAGAGAGAGAGAGAGAGAGAGAGAGAGAGAGAGAGAGAGAGAGAGAGAGAGAGAGAGAGAGAGAGAGAGAGAGAGAGAGAGAGAGAGAGGAGACAGACAGACACAGAGAAAGGGAGAGAGAGAGAGACCATGTACACACATACAACAGCTATGTCATACTTTATATCATAAAAGCAGAATTACTGCTCAATGTCTAACAGCAAGTGTCACATAACCAGCACAGTAAGTGAAACCACAACAATGAACATCATAACAGCACACACACTGACAATAGACAGCAGTACTACATTCATATGACAGGAAATCACAAGTCCTACACAACAGAATCAGACAATGCACCCAGATTTCAAGCCATAAACTACACACAGACTGTATATGATCAATGTTACAACAAAGTTAGTGCTGACTATCAACTACATGCTTTAATATGTTTATTCCCTTATCCCATTATGCTATCAACAAATCTGAAATTCATTATTATGTTCTTTTTCTTGAGCTTCTTCTTCTGTGCCTTTCATATCTCAATATAGAACAGAACCTCAACAAATTCACACCAATCCCTTTGTAGACTTTTCCCTTTGTAGACTTGTTCATGACTGGCTGGATTTTGCAGCTGTGGGATAAGGAAACTAATCTTACACCATTTTAGTTGCCTCTTATAGCATGTAATACTTCATACTACACATCTTGGACATTATCTTGGATACCGATTCTGACCTCCTGTCCGCTGACCCTCGTTTTTTCTTTTAGAACAGAGACGTAAACATTTTTATAAGATTGATGTCTTAGGTTTCTAATGTCCCAGGTTTCTAATGTCCCGGGTTTCTGCACGGTACGCACAGATAAATGCCTCTTCTTGTTCATAATGTTAGTGATGGTTAGGGAGACATTCTCCTTTTGTCCAGATGACAGTATCAGCAAATAATTTAAGACAGAACCAGTGCTAACCTACATCAAGAAACAACAGATCCGATGGTTATAAGACGTGTCAAGACTACCAGCAGACAGTACATCACAGAAAGCCCTGTCAGACATAATGGAAACAGAACTAGAGGTCAACCAAGCAAGTGATGGACAGATGAAATATCAGAGGCTGTAAATACCAGCATCTAGATAGCACATACCAAGGCTCGCATCCATGCCTATTCAAAACCTGAGGTTGAAAAGCATAAAGAACTAGCAAAGATAAAAGAAAAAATGTTTTTCTTTTAATATTTGAAAAACAAAACAAAAATAAGGTCTTATAGATTAATTTAGTCAGCAAGCCAAGTTCGACAGTTTTTGGTGTTTTTTTTAACTCATGGCTGTGAACAGGTATTTAAAAGGAAGTGGTCACCTTACCCTGTCATGCATTGACATATTATATCACACTTTACAATATGAAAAAACTGTGACTAAATTTTGATTTCAGAACTCCTTTACAGTAATTTTCTACACCATTTTATGACATCATACCAACTTTACATAACAGAACCCTTGACCTGTTAGAGTCATACAGGTGTATCGATGAAAGCACTAGCATACGAAACCCGCCATCTTTCTGTCTTCCTCTTGTTGAACAAGTGTATAATAATTTAGTCCAGTCAATTTCTTGTTGTCATTCCAGGTTCTACTTTGCCTCTCGCTACTTTGACTAACACCCTCTCCCTCTCCAACCCCCACCCCCTTTGGTTTTGAAAAAGACAAGTGGTTCAAAAAGCCCAGATATGGTTCACTCAAATCAGATTTGCTGGCTCAAAAAGCCCAGATATGATTAACTGAAATTTGCCAGCACAAAAAACTTGAACATGGTTTGCTGAAATCTGATGTGCCAGCACAAAAAGCCAGGATATGGTTTGCTGAAATCAGATATGCCAGCACAAAAAGGTAGGATATGGTTTGCTGAAATCTGATGTGAGAGCACAAAAAGCCAGGATATGGTTTGCCAGCTCAAAAAGCTTAGATACTGGAATCTAACTGTAAACTATTAAGCACTATATCAATGCCGTTTGAAGTGTGATTGCAGAAGAAAAAATATAAACAATGCAATAGGATGAGGAGCGGCTGGCTGAGTGATTACAATATCGCGTTATCATACAGGAGACTCATCTTTGAACCCCGATAAAGTGATGGCATTTTCCTGTTGGGGGCAAAAATAAACAGCCTAACCTGCACAGTACACGGTGACAGCGTTAGTTATGAGGCCCTAAATCCTTGGGCTCATGACCCTTCCCCACACCAATCTAAAAAGCGATAAATACAGAGAGAAGTCACAATGCGAAAAGATAATAGTGGCTTTCTGCTACTGTACAAATTTTAACAGCACTAAAGCACTTTTTCTGTTTTCAAAATGCCAAAGCAACTGCTTTTAAGTATGAAAACATACTAACTACTGAATGAGTTAATAGTCTTGTGTTGGTTTCACAGTGGTACTGAGAGCTAACCATTCAGAAGCAATGGCAAACTACTGATGTAAAATTTGCCTAGAAAAACCACAACAGCAAAAAAAATACGTGGCTGGTTCTGCAAGGTCCTGTAAAGGATATGTAACTAACTTATAACATCATCAGTCAGAAAGTCCTTTACAGAACGTCGCTCTATTCACGTCACGCCTGAAGGTA